ACTTAAGACATTTTGAGTTGCAACAAACAGCACCTACACTTATAAATTGACACCCTGTTTTGACTTTCTGACCTCAGTTTTGACTTTACAATGCTTGAGCTGATGCCACGCCAGCAAACAAGTTCACTGCGTCACCCATCTCCCTGGAGAGCATCTGTTCAAACTTCCTTGGACACTTTCTTTAAGAAAGCAGACAAGACTCCAGAAAAAACCTGCAGCCAAGACTCCTGAGAAGACTCCAGCCAAAAGCCCTTCAAAAAATCCAGCAAAGTCATCTCAAAGAAGTCCTTCCAAATCAATATGATTGCTATTTACAATGTGAATACATTAATGTAGCTATATTACTCGTCTACAAAATTCTGGTTTATTTTTGGTGAAAGTAGGGTATCGGGCCTTGGTTCAGGTACCAACCCTCCATTTATAACATTGTTCCTATGGGAAAATTGGTTTTGAGTTATAGTGTTTCTACTTAAGGCGTGATTTTCATGAACTAATTGTGTTCCAAGTCTGAGGACTGCCTGTAGCTTGTCCTCTGGATTTTCTTCCTCTCTCTGGCCTCTGGTTGTCATCCTTTGCTCTTGGGACCACTTGGGTTGTGTCTTAATTGTGAACCTGGCCAGCCAGGATGCTACTTGTGTTTAGTGGGCACTTCCTTGCCCCAGTGCCCTAGTCTGTTCCTGGATAACATTCACATCATGATGCAGGAGTACCTTATCTTAGTGCCTTGTTGCTGTTGCTTCTGTCTGAAAGCACATATGTGACATAGTATATGTTTCATGTACTGAGAGAAGCCAAAGGCTTCAGTTAGTATTGATTAGAAGCTTTTAGGTGTTCCTTTTTACCCTTTCAGGGCACTATGCTTGGAGTACTATTGGGGCAGCCTTCACTGAGTGCAGAGCACTTATCAACACAAGTTTTACTCTTGATGCTCGATGGTAAAAGCTAAGGGTCTCAAGCAGCAATCATTGAGTCCCTGGTGGACAAAGCTGAGGGAAGCTCCAGTATCAAGCTTTACCCACTGGTCGATTCGTTTTGTATGTAGAGCTGTGAATAACCTGATTCATGCATGCACATCAGTAGTTCTGGCATGCTGTGAAGGATGAAGTCTCTGTTGAAATTCCACTTTGCATCTCTTTTCCCAGTGCAGTACAATGAAGGGGATCTAAACTAAAGCCTTAAGGACCTGTTTTGCTTGATAATAAGAACGTACCTCAGGGCTTAGCTTGCAGGTTGTCATCTTGCACAACTTTTATGCCAAGGTTCTTCAAGTATCACAGCATACAAAATACTGTCACTTCAGTTAGAGCACCTACTCTTTGGAGACCAAATGCTTGGAGGCTTTCTGTTCTTATTGTGCAGAAATTGCTTATGGGTTTAGAGCATTCTTGGTGATCTTGGGGCCCTGGAACAGCTTCCAGAAACTGGGGATTCTTAATTTCTTTAGCATTGCTGAAACCTAGCTATTCCAAAGTTTCATAGAAAGGTCTGTTAGAATTCTCTCAAATGTGCAAGTGTTTCATGACAAGACAAGTTTGTGCTGTGAAGATAGATGAAGTGCACTGATCTTTATTCACTATACTTTTGTGGCAAGCTAGCTGGTCTGTGCCTTATTTAGTAGAAATTAATACAATCCTATTGCAGTATTGGGATGCATAAGGGAACTTATGGCAAGTCAAATTCTGTGTATCCTGTGGCTTGCAGACCCTCCCAACAAGATGAGTCAAGGAAGTTTAAGATGAGCCATAATAGTGCATGTTTTTGTTGTTATCTACACAGTCAGATAACTAATAATGGCAAAAGCTCTTGTGCCTAGAGTACGGAAGGTAACCATCTGGTAACTGTGGTGTAATATTTGAAGCATTGTCCTTCAAAGGATGATAGTGTATTAAGAAACCATGAATTGAAAACAGCAGGAGAACAGTCATTTTTGCTTTTGGATGACTAATTTTGTCAGTATTCTGGCTATGAAAGTTGTGGTGCTCAAGCAGTTTGATCAGTTTATACCAGAAGTCACTGTGCTTTATGTGAACATAAGAATGTGTGGTTCTTGAAAGGGTAACATCATGGGCTGTGCTGTGCTTTTGCAGGTTGGTTTCATAGAAGTACTGGGAACAACTGACAAAGGAATTTTTCTGGAATTGCTAAACTGTAGGTACTTTGGAGTAGATGAACTGATGCTGTTGCAGAAGGGAGTTGAAATGCATCTTTAGGTTATTTTAGAATGACACTTTTTGGGTACCTGGATATTGCCTGGTCAAAAATGAGTTGTCTTCATAATGCTTCGTCGGATCTGTAGCCAGTGACATTCTTCTTCATATTAGCTATGAAACAAGGGGTAGGGAAATTTACCTAAGAAAGACTTGGCTGGTATTTATTCCAAATAGAATTGTTTCCAGACCATCTTTCTGCAGTTTTGTTTGCTTTTATTTTTTCTCATTTTTGCATAGCTGTTGATTTACTTGCCTTTTGGGGAAACATTTAATTCACGTGTTGTTTGGCTTATTTCTTGGGACCATTTGCTACCTGCTTGACAGTCAGTAAGGGGTTACTGTTTTCTTGTATCTGGACACTGCAGTTTTTAGGGACCAGGAAGTATAAATCCCTGCCCTTTTCTACTGGGAAGTAAATATCTAGGAGGGAGAAACCAGTTAATTACATCTCCTACGCCCTTCCACGTGAAATAGGGCATTAGTTTTCAAACCCTGCAAAGAATGTTAGTTTACAGGAGTGGCATAAACCTTAAAACACCTTACATTAGACTTTCAAAGGAAATGGTCTCCCATGATTGAAGAGGGGGTTCTTTAAAACAAACAAACAAACAAACAAACCCAAACAAGGTGCTTTACTTTAAAGTCAGTGTGCTTTCCCCTCCCTGCCCCC